GCAGGGCTTCGCGGGAGCCTTGGAGACCTGGGAGCCTTCCTTGATTAGAGAGGCTCTGCGCCCAGGCTCCAACTTCACGTTCACCCGCAGCCCTCGTCTATTTCATCCTGTGCTTGAGGAGAATTGCTTGACACCAGAAGCATGTCTTTAAGGAACAAAACAGCGCCGCAGCAGCGGGGTCCCAGTGGAAGCAGTCCCTGTGTGGGGGTTCAAGAAAGTGTGAAGTTAAGCAAGTTTTGCTTACCCAAGGACTCGACTTTAGGAAGAGTTCTTTAGTTTATTGGCGTCCTCACCCGGGAATCTGACCCTTTGCCCTAAGAATTATTTCAGATGCTCTCTGGTCTGGGGCATATATTCTGTCTCAGGAGTCTGGACCACTAGAGCCAGAGTTTTGAGTGAGAGAAGCCGATGGCAAGGCAGGAGTCGTGAATTATTAACAGAGGTGTGGATGCTTGGGGCCTGGAGCATCCTTCAGGGACAGCTCAGTAGCTATCAGGTCTGATAATTGTTCTATTCACAAGCGGAGCCCCGCTTGGTAGTGAAGGAGCTTTGGCTACTTAATGCAGCCTGAGCGCTAGATTGCATCTCCGATGATTAGATTGAAGTGTTTGTGAGGGTGAATTAGGGAAGCGGGTGTCTCTCTCTTCAGATGTGACATCTGTGGGAAGAGGAGTGAGTTCCTGGCAGGAAGGATTAGGCTTTTTTCTTATACCTATTGCAAACTAATTACTTGTAAATATATATGATTTCCCATTGTTTGTGTGCTCATGTATTCAAACAGTGCTGTTATTTCAGTCTCCTTTATGGAACGCGCTCTGGCCTCCCACCTCTCCACCTCTACTTGAGTTAAATGTGTCTCAGAGTTTGCTCCAGGGCCTCCTTCTCGCTGCATCACGGCTTTGAAGACTAGTGCTCTTCCAAATGTATTGCCTGGACTGGTGTTGGTCTGCAAATTGTTCCTTATCGGTCTGTAAGGAGAGAGAAGTACAGAAATTGAAAGTAAGATGTAGAAACTTTTATAGCAGTTTGCCATTGCCTTGACATCCAAGCACATTCATCAGTTGTACTTTCTGTTTTTTGATTTGTAAAGTAATTCATTTTTGTTGGATTTTATAAAAGTATTGGTCCACGACGCATTAAAAATAAAAAATAAAAGTCCTTCACCAAAAATGGTTTGAGGGGCACTGAATTCTATGTAACTCCCAGATTTATATCTTCAGTCCTCACCTCTCGCAGAGCTCTTTTATGCCCTCAACTAACTTTACAGCTCCATTTGAAGAATGATTATAATAGTTAATATTTATGGAGCAATTACGGTGTGCTGGGTACTGAGCTACATGTTTTGCATAAGTTTCTTATTTTCTCTACAAGGTAGATACTATTATTATGTTTAACTGACAACTCAGGAGCAGAACTCCAGATACCCGCCCCCTCCAAACCTGTTCCTCTTTAGACTGTTCCATCCGTTTACTCACGTCAAAAATTTAGAAGTCATCCTTGTTTTGTCTCTTCCTTTCACGCCAGCATCCAATTAATTAGCTAGCCGTGTTGTCTCCACCTCCAAAATATAGCCCCAATTCCTCCACTTCTCTCCCTCTCCATTGCTATAACGATGGTTCAAGCCTCTATCGTCTCCCACCTGAACTACTACAAAAGCCACCAGTGGGGTCTCCTCCACAACCCCAAACAACACATTCTCCAAACAACTGAGTGATCTTTTAAAAACGTAACCAGATCATGTCATGCTTCTGCTTAAAACTTTCCAGTGAGTTTTCATTGCACTTTAAATACAACCCCTAATCCTTACCACAGCCTAGAAGGTTCTGTATAATCTTGTCCCAGCCCAGTTCTCTTACGCCATGTTCCCATAGACCATACCTATGTGTGCTATAGCCACATCGGCCTATTTCTGTTACTCTCTTGAGTAAGTCTAGCTTACAGTACTTGCTGTTCTTTCTGTTTGGAATCCTCTGCTCCTGGATCTTTACATAGTAGGCTCCTTAATATCCTACAGGTCTCTGCTCAAGTATCACCTCCTCAGGCTTTATCTAACCACCTGATCTAATTGGCCCCAGGGTTCTTCTCTGTTAGATCTCCTTGCTTTGATTTCTTCCAGATACTTTTCACTATCTGAATCAGCTTGCATTTGTTTACTTGTTTATTATCTCCTCATCCTCCTCTAGAATAAAGGATCTCAAGAGCTTTGCCTGCACTTTTCTCTCTGGTGCCCAGAACAAGATTTGGCACATATTGTTTACTCACTAAGTATGTAGTGAATGAGTGCATGATTGAATGAATAAATAACACACTTAGAAAAAGTATTTTTTTATTTTTTCTGATGCTTCTTCTTCTTGGATCCTCATTGCGGCCTGTCACAATTTGTTTGTTTCCCAGCAGTACACAGAGAGACAACATTGTTTCCTCTGTCCACCCTATCAGAGATGGCTCCATGTAATGGCACACATTTAAACTAGACGCCAGAGTCATGTTCCTAGAACCAACTTGAAAACAAGCATACTCAATAAAAAAATGATCCTTACTTCCATGAGCTTCCCTAAATTGTAATAATGGCTACTTGGGCAATTTTTTGCACCTAGGACAACTTGGCTATTCTGCCAATAATTTACTTGCTAAAGTCAAATGTAACCTCTTGGTGACTTTCTTTCATGCCTATAGTTTGTTGTGTAATCCTTTATGTGTTAGCCAGAATCTTCAATGATAGTGTTCTAGGAACTGGACATGTCGCCTATGATCTGAATGTTGAACAAATGGCATTAATGACCTTCACCTCATAGAGTTTGGTCACTTGCAATCTGTGTGTATATCTGGGTCTTAGGAAATATCTGCAACATCAGTGACATCAGATGATGACTAGGTCAATAATTCAATTCAATAAACTTTATTGATCAATAAAATTTATTGATGTCTACTATATGCCGGGTATTATGTCTTCAGGTTTTTTTGCAAAAATTGTAAATGTTATATAAAATTATTATATATGACTCAGAAATGGATTTCAGTTCATTTCAGCCACGGGAATGTCTTCTCTTTACACAGAATTTTGGAGCTCATTGAGCTTATCGTCATTAAACAGCTGTGTGGTAACTACAGAAAGCAGCATTTGATCCTGATCATTTCCATACTGTTATGAATGTGTTTTTCAAGTACAGAGAATCTGGATACAGCAGCAGGATTTTTGGCATAATGACTTCATAGTAAGGCAGACAGGAGATTTGCAGGCAAGATATTTGCAGACAGAAGGTATTGAAAAAGGACAGAGCATAAAAATATTTACAGTACATTTACTCATAATTAGGGGTATTTGTCATCATTAGGAGACCTGGATTCTACCTCAGTGAGTTTGATACCCTTGGAAGGTTTTTTCAGGAAGAAATTATGTAGCATCTTTACATTTCATTCTCTTTACCCACATGCTCATTTATTTAAAAGCAACTGTTTTACCTTCGAAAAGCAGAGAGAAAAGGAAGAAATTTGCTTGAATCTAAAAAACCCTGACTGCTCCATCCAGGCATACTTCTCCAGAGTGGAGCATGGAAAGATAGTTAGAATATGACTGCTTAAAATCACTTTTTCTTTACTTTTAGTAAACGGGCTTATCCTGTTTCTTGAACTGGTTTTAATCAAGCCTTAGAGACATGCTCTTCTCAGGGAACTTATTTAGATAGAAAATACTTGTGTTTCTTCATCAATATTTGAAGGAGATGAGAAAAAGAAAAGACAAGATAGTCTTTCTCCCAAATATATAAAATGAGGTATAGAGTTTTACATTTTATATGCACTTTAGTTTTTATAAATTATTAGTTATTAATGTTTCCTTAATATTTAACTTATCAGCCTTGAACTCAAAAGACACAATATTATTCTTTCAGAATAGCATTAGTGCATTTATATCTCAATGTAATTGGATGATTCCATGGAAGTAGAAATAAATACCTTTGTATGATTTCTATCATTTATGCCCAATTTTGTATAACTAAGTTCCCACAATGGCTTAACAAGATAGAGTTGGTTTTGAGTTACCCTAAATACTTTATAAAAGTACTCATTAGATGAATCCTGGATATTCACATTCTTTTTGGTTTAACAGATCTACCGTATAATGTTGGACAACATTATATGGTAGCAAATATGGAAAAATAGCAAAATGTTCATCTCACCTGGAGAACATGATGACATTCAGTTATTACAGTCAGATTCTTTGTGGATGGAGAAAAAATTCCAGAACTTAATGGTCCATATTATATTATCTTGAGATTTTTGAAGGTTTCTAGATGATAGTAGCTGGATTGTAGAATAGGTTTCTGCTTTGTCAGACCTACCTCCAGGATCTGAAGGAAGGAAGGGTGGAGAGAGGCAGTGGTTTGATTTCACAGTAGTATCTCACATCTCTGCTATGTTTTGTTTCATGGCAGAGCAAGTTCAGAGACATGTGAGGTTAATACAGATCTTTGTGTATCTGTGTGTGGAGAAGGATAGTTTGCTAAAGATGTCTAGTATCTAGAAGGGTCCAGGTGACTAATTTTTGAGTTCTATATTGAAATATGCTTAAGTTGCAAATCAGAAGAACTATATTCACATTGCAAAATTTTGTTAAAGGCTCTCTGGTTTCTTGATTTTCTGTGAACTAGTTTCATAGTATGAATGTTAAAGTAGTGTATGAAAGTCATTTATAGTCTCACCTAAGTCTTCCCATTCGAATATTAGTAGAATTTACCTAATATAGTATGATTGCCTAT